GAAGTTTTCAACCGTAGATCTAATTATAACCGCGGCTTGTTGTTCACATAACCTATTACAACGTTCAACACCATTGATTATACCAGAAAACGTCGAGTATGTAGGAATCCCAGTAGATAATTTTATCAATTTGAGACACACCGGTGGTAGTTCATCAAAGAAAGTTTATCAATTTCGAGATAAATTTAAATCGTTTTTTAACAGCAGAGAAGGAAGCGTATCATGGCAAGCAAAGCAAGTTACAGAAACAGATAATTTAATTGACTTGGAATGCAACCTGTATCTATTTTATAATTTTATATTAGTTAAAGAAAAATAAAACCGATGGCCGCAACAGGACTACAAGTCAACAGTTATAAAGTCCTACGTCCTGACCGCTATCCTTTACCTACCGTAAATGCGGCATTTGCGAAGATAGCCAACGCCACTATCTTTTCAAAAATTGACCGTGACCAAGCCTTCACCCAGATACCTATCAATTCTGCCGCTGCCGACTTACTATTAACACAATTAGAAGCCTTTATTGAGTTCACCGGCTTCCATTTGGCAGCCCTGCAGACCCAGGCATCCCTCAAAGGCTTATGACAGATCTCACAGATCTCCTAGCTGGACTTCAAGCGGTGGTGGTACTACAGGACTCATCAGGGGTGAGGACATTGCAACTCATGACGAGCATTTGCAGGTCGTCCTCGACGACAATGCTAGGTGGTTTAATAAGAAACCGGTGCCAATGTTGATTTTAGGCGAGGTCTTAACCTTAACTTGGAATTATGCTCGTACTCAAAAGAATTTAGCGTAGAAATCCACACGAAAAGACGAAAAACCAACAAATTTAAAAATAAAGTTGCAATTCACCTCATGGACAAAATTTAGCACACAATTAATCGCTCTTTCTCTGAACGTGCGGAACCAGGAATAATACTGGAAGAGGAAATCAAAATTAATGCGTCCTTAGGCTTGGTCTCTTTGATTAAAATTTGACCTTTTTATAGGATGCTGTCGATAAAATCCTTAAATGGAAAAATTCAAATTTCCCCTTACCTTACAACTAATTTCAACTAATTTCTCAGCCTCTTAACTATTAACGTAGGTAACTGGCTCCCATCCTTACTTACCCATGATTGATGTGCATCCTGAGTTCATACCTGCCATTTAGATGACTAATCCCTTTCTTCGGATGAATTCCATAACGTACATAATTACACGTACGTAATTACAGCAAAGTCACATTTAAGCTATTTAGTTTCTATTGTCTACCTCCGTTACGAATATAATGGCTAGATATAATGGATTTATTGGAAGATCCCTCTTTAGTTTCTTCCTCGTTAGGAACATTCGGTTAAGCTCGTCTAATATAATTTTAAGTGCATAGTTAAGCATTTTACATTTCAGCCGTAAATTTCCAAGGGGATTGTTACAATGTAAAATTTAGTACCAAACTGTAAAGCATTTAGCTACCGATAAAATGGATATCCACAGTAGAGCTAATTGCAGAGGACGGCCGTTTTAATAGCTGCCGTGTGTTGTCTTTTAATGGAAAGTCATCATACCGGCTGTTAAAAACTAGCGTTGTAGATAATTTATTAGTGTCATTCCAATGAATAGTGAACCTTTAATTCGGTGCAATTACTTCCAAAGTTGCTTTCGGTTGTTTGTGATGTTAAGTAAATTTCAGTGTCGCAACCGCATTTAACGAGACAAAATGCACGTAAGCTGAAAGCAATAGCTTTAAAATAAAATGCCACAACCTCAACCTCGGTCGTCTGCGTAATGCACCATTAATAGAGGGTGGTCACCCCCACCCGAACTTCACGTTTGCATACATTATGCACGAAATAAATACTTCTAGTTTTATTCAAATCAAAAACTAAGTTATTTGAATAAGAGAAACTGAAAATATGAAATTTGTGCATATGACTTGCAGGCACGCTAGGAGGAATTTTCAACTTTCAACTTTATGTCTCTAATTCTCGCACGTACATTTTGTGTAATAATGAAATTCAACTGCGACCTACTAAAAATTAAACCCCGTAAACTTTGCACGTTTCGTAGACCGAATAATATTTTCACTTCGTTACTGATGTTTTTAAAACGAGAGTCATTTGTAACGCGTATGGAAATTGTAATGTTTGTACAAAAACGATAACTTTCGCATTACACATTCCCCACATCGTTAGTGTCACGAAAACTATCGAATTGCCTGTAACTTTATTTCACTTCCTGTGTTCAATTCTAAATTATAAAGTGAAGTATTCCGATTAAACATTTTGAGCTGATTCAAAAACTTTTTCAAGAATATTTGGGAGTACAGCGTACTTAGTTGAGATATCTAATGGTATAAAGTCAAATAATAAAATCGCTCGCCTATTCTGACTATTGATTCTTTGGACCACGTACTGAAATACGAATATGATCTTATTCGTTATTCCTACAAAAGTTTCCCTTTTAAAACAAACTTCAAACGCTTTATGTATATTTACTTAAACTTAATTCGTTACGTGTGTATTTTTAATTAATTCGCATTCGTTAATTAATACAGAAATCATTCATTCATTAACAAATTAAACCTTATTTTGATTTATTTTCTATCCACGTGTGCCTTTGTGTTATTTACGCACCTTCTACGGTGAAACACGTCGTCCATCATTTTAGTTTTTTCCCCTTCAGCTGGTCCACGTCCACTTTCACTTGATATTACTTATTGGGTCAAAGCTTAAAAATGCGGTACCTATAAATATTAGTGCAAATAGTGAGAAAGCAACATTCGTTAAATGACAATCCTGGGTGCAAAATCTGCGCAAGTCGCGGCTGCAGAGTGCGTCGTGTGTTCAAGGCAAACCGTCCACTATGTGGATTCCGAAGAAAGAAATTACGCGAAGAGCGATCCATCATCTCTATCAAGCCACCTTCACGCTGCGGACGAAGATTTTGGCAGAATTTCCGAGAACACAAGAAAGTTGAAAATTTTCACGGCGTAACACATACTAGGATTCTGTAGCCGGTCCGTGCAAAACGCAGATGGAGGACTAATTCCTTTCTTCTTAACCACCACGACGAGCGATCTCGATTATTCCGGTCACCAACATTGCTTCGACTTCGTCAGCGATCATTCGTTCCTTTTCTGGGAAACAATTATCGGGGGACCTCGGAAGAGTGTCTCTTGGCTCAGCGGAAGTCGATGAAAAGTAGTGCCGGTGAGGGACGGAGGGATGTGTTGATCTATTTTCTTTTTTTTACCATTATTGTATGTATAACAAAAAATTCACGCGCGTCCGAGGTTCGAACCCGAGGTGTCACGTTTAAAGTCAGCGATCTAGTCATGTGCGTCAATCAGATGGCAGTGGTAGTTTTAGTTTTATAAAACTGTTTAAATTTTCAAAATCTTCGACCACCCACCACCGCCGCGCCATCCGCGAAATTGGTGCCAGGCCAGGCGGGTATGCTATTAGCATAATACGTAACTATCTAATATCTAAATATCAACAATAATAAAACTGTTTAAGAAAATGTGCCACTATGGCTCTCCTACTATACCTATAGCGAAGTTCATATTTGGAAAATAAATGAGTAGCTCGCAATTTCCAAACAGTGCTCTTCTCTTACCGTCATCTTCAACCATACTCGCTAATTAACGAGAATTGCTAGGGCAAATTGCAATTAACCCTTTTAGTGCGCACTTGCACAAATAGCGAAATTGTGAATGTCTCACTAATTTCATACCTCGTGCCTTTTACAGAATTCATAAGTGCGAGTATATAATTGAACGTAAAAGACGCCCACGTTTTACCCCTCATTAAGGAACTAATTACACTTGTGAAAATGGAACGCGAAACCTATAATTTCTTTTCTGTTTCAGAAGCGACGGAGAAAACTTTATAACGGAGGGGCTGCGAACTGCCCTGGCCCGACTGCGACAAAAATCAAGTTCCCCCGGTAGCCAGTCGTCCCCATTCCAGCAACCTATCAGCCCATCACCTCATGTAAGTTTAATTTATAAACTGAGTGTACAGACACTACCGATCTGATATAGGTAATTTGTGTATAAGATGCTAGGCCGATGAATTTCTAGGTACGAACTAAAGAACATGCTAAAATTGGTGATTTATTTAGGTAATACTACTGTAACTGGGAAAAAGACTCTTGTAAATGTCAAAACACGCTATCAATTGCGAAGAAAATAATCGGTGGATAGAAAATGCGTAGCAATTCGCGAATAAGAAATGTAAACGTATAACAGTAATTGCATAGTGCGTATACAGGGTCTCTTATGGTAGCTGTTCATTAGACAATATCAATTGAAATAGTATATTGAAAGACAAGTGTTACAATGCGACCTATTGTAATCCGACTATCTTGTGGCACGAGTGCCGACGCGAAGCGTAGCCACGAGTGTCCGCAAGATAGGAGTATTACAATAAAGCATTGTAACACGCGTTTTTCATACTATTTTTTCTATTTCGGTGCTTTAATTTAATTAAAAAGATCATTATCAGAAACTATAGGGAACATTAGAACTAACATGATTTATGTTGGGAACACTTTTTATGCCGTTAAGTTTTAGGTTGGCAGCGTAGTAAGCCTGACATTTTTAATTTGCGTACTTTCCATTTATTTTTTTAAAATGAATTCAGAACGTCCGGATACTCCCCCTGAATTACGTAGCATCGCTAACAATGCGGTTGACAAATTACTACCCACGAAGTCGCAGGCAAAGTACCAAAAAGAGTACGAGATATTTAGTGCATGGTGCGGCACGAATAAAGTAGAAGCGATAAGTGAAAACGTTTTATTGGCATATTTTAATGAAATGAGCCTCACTAAAAAATGCTCTACAATGTGGTCGAACTATTCGATGCTTAGGACCTGCCTTTCCATATACAAAGATATCGATATATCAAAGTTCGCTAAGCTTCATGCATCTTTAAAAAGACAATCGGAGAATTACCAACCAAAAAAATCTAAGATATTAGACTCCGATGATATTAATAAATTCATCACTGAAGCTAGCGACGATTTGTTTCTTGCAATGAAGGTATTATGACCACCATGCATGTTCACTTCTAAATTTATTGCTTTGTAGGTCATATTAATTATCGGGTATTGTGGCGCATGCAGGCGTGATGAATTAACAAATATGTCCGTTAATGACATACAGTTTAAATCCGATACAGTGGTCATCACACTCCCTAAAACAAAAACCAATATTTCCCGAACATTCGTAATTACGAACGAACCATGGATACACTTGATTAAAAAATATGCCCAATTGAGACCTGCCAATACCATACATAGACGATTTTTCCTGACGTACAGAAAGGGTAAATGTACGGTATCACCAATGGGAATCAACAAGATTGGGGAAGTTCCCAGAAATATTGCCACATTTCTTCACTTGCCCAATCCTGGGCAATACACAGGGCACTGTTTCCGCCGATCCTCTGCAACACATCTTGCTAACCAAGGTGGGGACCTCCTTTTAATAAAAAAAACATGGGGGATGGAAATCATCTGCAATTGCGGAGAGCTACATCGATGATTCCTTAGCTAAGAAAACTAAAGTGGGGCAGATGTTTTCAAGCAGTTCACATGTTGAACCCTCATCCTCTGTAACATCATCGATAAATACTATTCCTCATACTATCACCTCATCATCGATACCTCAGCAACTGCAGGAAACTAATTTAACTTCTACCTCGACTTCTACTCAAAACCATAACATTGTTTTATCTGATCAGTCGGTTCCAGGTATTTCAATATCTACAGTTACAATAAAAATTTATAGTCATTGCAGTATTAAAGAGGATTAAGTACCTAACCTATACTTACAGAGACTGACTGCAACGTTTTTTTTCTAATAATTATTTTGTTCTACTGTATTACATAATCTTAGGAACTCATCCATTAGGTAGTCCATTTGCCATGAGTTAATTATACCTATTTCAAATTGTATTTCTCATTAAACGTTCGTTATTCTAGTAATAGTATTTACCTTGATAACTTTGCTTTTACTTAGAAAGCTACGCATTTTCACAGCAGATTTGCATACAAATAGGTTATAAGCCCGTAGCCCGTACCCGTAGCACTAACTAGCACAGGTACGTAGTAAAGTAAATGCTCTTTGAGCTTTGAGCATGCACACAAAAAGCGCGCGAAATTTGACAAATTTGCATTGTATTAATGCACACCTACAGGTTCAGCAGTCAAGCATATTTGTCACCGGTGACCTGTTAGGTCCACTGTCAAAACACCTCTTAATCCACACCTACAGGTCCACCGTCCATCTCAGTTGATTAAAACTGTTTGACGATGACATTGCTGTAATTGGTGTTTTATTTACAACAGATTCAAATCGTCAACTTAAGTACGAAGTGTGTGTATGCTGTACAAACTGGTCGGAAAAGAGGTACCTTTGATAGAACAAGATACTGTTTTGAGGCAATCTATTGCGGCTCATGAAAGCCACCTCCGAGGTTTCTGGCCACTGGAAGGACATACGCAGATATGAAATTTTCGACAATAATTTCACCTCAAGCCTTAAAACTGAGTAAATGGACATGGAGAATGGAGAACTTACCATTGATAACTGACAGATCAACCAGGAATTTGTACACACCTACAAGTTGAAGGGTGAGGTGCACCTGTGATCTGTCAACTTTCACGGCAGGGGTTGTCATTTCATAAGTTACGAAAACTGACAGTTTTTACTCATCCATATTCCCACATACTACATTGGGCTACCAATTGCTGTTAAACTGTAATCAGTCACATAACACTCGGTCAATGAAATCTATGTATAAGCAACTAAAATTCTTTATATTACTTTTACTATAAACTTATCTTACACATGACCCAAATATAGTCTCGTGAAATTGGCACGCCATTCTGGATTCAATTCTTGAATTTAACCTAAAATGTTTGTACGTCGTTTGTAACGTTTGTACTGACTTAAAAAAAATTAGCACCCCTAAGCACTACAGAGTTATGCAAAATTGAAAAAGGCGTGCTTACTTCACACTTAGCACGCCTTTTTGAAATACAAATCAAAAAAGCTGTTTCAAAAGTTAGTATTACGTATGTATTATTTGAACTTATAAACAAAACATTAACACCCCCAACCCTTATCGAATTATTTGATATTAAAAAAGGCGTGCGTACTTCACACCTAGCACGCCTTTTAAAAATACAAATCAGAAAATCTGTTTCAAAAGTTAGTATTACGTTTGTATTATTTGAACTTATAAACAAAACATTAACACCCCCAACCCTTATCGAATTATTTGATATTAAAAAAGGCGTGCGTACTTCACACCTAGCACGCCTTTTAAAAATACAAATCAGAAAAGCTGTTTCAAAAGTTAGTATTACGTTTGTATTATTTGAACTTATAAACAAAACATTAACACCCCCAACCCTTATCGAATTATTTGATATTAAAAAAGGCGTGCGTACTTCACACCTAGCACGCCTTTTAAAAATACAAATCAGAAAAGCGGTTTCAAAAGTTAGTATTACGTTTGTATCATTTGAACTTATAAACAAAACATTAACACCCCCAACCCTTATCGAATTATTTGGTATTAAAAAGGCGTGCGTACTTCCATCCCAGCACGCCTTAGCTTAGGTAAAAAGACATTTCAAATAATCAGTATTACGGTTGTGCTATTTGATATTTATAGAATACTGTACAGCCCTTAATATTTTGTTTGTATTACAAAAACTGCTACTTGCAATACAATTAGTTTATATAGAAATCGAGACTAGCTCACACATCGTACCTTTTTCAAATAAAAAAGAGCTATTTAGAAATTCACACAAAGACAGTCAACGTTTATCCCTAATTTTATCTAAACAGGCAAACAAACGTATTTACGTACCTACATCACATCTAAAATGCTTTTGGCGAATATACAATAGACAGAAAATCTGTCCAAAAAGCGACTTTACACCTGTAATTAAAAAATTATTCGGAATCAAACCCTAAGAAGTAAGTGTATATGCCTTCACACATAACAGTCTCGCGAAAATAAATTATCACCGATTGCAGTCTTCCGCAATTCACCGTGTACATCATTCTGCATAATTATTTGTAAAAATGCATAATTATTGTTCAAAATCACCTAATCGCCTTATTCTTTTAATTATTTGTATTCATTTTTATTGCTTTACTCTTGCGCTTTTTTATATAATACCGCCGTCCCAGCCATATATCAGTTCCTATTAATGTCAATGGGAATGAATGTTTTGAGACTATAGCGATAAAATATTTGAAACTTTATACCTACTACAACAAAGAACTTTTTATTTAAATAAACTGCACTGCAGCGTTTTTAAAAGTGCAGGTCAAATGTTTTAAATGATGGTGTTACGTATTCAAAATTTCTTGTACAGTGTTAATACTTTAGCATCATTGAAAGTGTGGCATTTGCATTCGTATGCGGTGGTTAACCTTAGGTTATACCAATTAGTGAAATTATTCGTGTGTTGTGTTAAATCATTAACCATCATGCCGCGTCAACCACGTATACCACCAGAACAAATTTTAGAAGTGATTACAAAGCACAAAAATGAAATTGAGACAAATTTATCAAGGCCTTCAGCCAAAATTTGGGCTGATGCTGTTAATGAGGCTCCCATTCATGGCAAGCTATCTGCTCAAGGTTTATATACGATTGTAAAATTGAATAGGTATAATTGTTGTGATCTATTAAATATAAAATTACCTGATAAAGACAATGACGGTGAAAATGAAGACGAAGACTTAATCAATACCTCATATCATACTATTACATTAGACAGCAATATTTGGAATGCAATTAAACCTGAAGTGAAGTGCTACGCTGACAGAAAAAACAGAATGGTGTTAAAAAAAGGGTGGACTACTTTACTGAATGCTGAGATTAGCAACACTGTGCAAAGTAATTGTGTGTGGAAATTTTTAAATCATCATATTTTCGAAAGTGGTCAAAATTATTTAAATATCCGTGGTGAATGTACTGAGTGTTATGCTTCTTTGTTTGGGTATAATGTTGGCGGTCCTATAGAAGGAAAACTGTATTTAACTTTAAAAGTCACAAACTTAGATCTTACATTACACAAAGGAGTTAAAAAAAGAAAGTTAACGGGATTTTTGCGCAACGAAATCGGTAAAATTTTGAGCGACGGGAAGCTAGCAATCAATTGGAAAAGAGAAGAAGCGGCTAAAACAACAGATAATCAAGAAAGTGTTTTGTATTCTACAGACGTTTTAAGAAAGTGCAAACAAGAATATACAGATAAAAAGTACAAAATAGCAAAAAATGAAGATCCCGTTTACAACCTACATGTATTGAAATATACGCAACCCTACCTAGCCAGTGTACATATGATTGGATTAGACAAGTTTTTCATACATTATTGGTCGCCTGAACAATTATCTGTATATAATTCCTATGTGAAAATTGAGAAAAAAAGTTCATATATAGCAATTGACGCGACTGGAACCCTGGTTAAGAAGTTAAGGAGACCAAATGACATTTCTTCTGGACATATCTTTTTATACGCAGTTGTGATTAACACTGGTGAAAAACATGGACAAATACCGGTATGTCAAATGTTGTCGGAAAGTCACGATTCTAATAGCATTGCATTTTGGCTTAATAGTTGGATTAAATCCGGTGCATCTATACCACAGACAATTGTTTGCGATCATTCCTTAGCTCTGTTAAATGCCGTGTCATGGGCGTTCACAAATACGACATTACAATCTTATATTTCAAAATGTTTTGATTTGTTAAATGGAAAAGGTGATACAAGCAATGTAACAACTTATATAAGAATTGACTACGCTCATATAATGAATATTATATGTAAATGGCAAAGTATTCGAAAACCAAAATTGTTACATGAATTTTATGTTCGAGCGATGGTGTTACTAATAAAAACTACAACTCTAGAAAGTGTGGCGTCTTTGATCGAAAGTTTGATCATAATATCAAATAGTGAATATTCCGGTGATTGCAATGGTGTTCAAACTCCTTGCGAGTTACACAAACAAAACTTGAAACTAAAAATATCGGGACTAGACACAGTGATCATTGATAATGAATATGTGGAAAATACTAATGAACAACAACAGATTAATTTGACAGGAATGGAATCAATAGAAAATGATAATCTCAACAATTGGTTTAGAATTATTAAAGACCGTGCATTACAGCAATGCCAATTTGTAACAAATAACGAAAATTTTCATTATTGTCCAGATTTTACAAAAGATTTAGAAAGATTAGCAAAAACTATTACATTATGGTCAAACGTAATGAACAAACATTTTCTAACGTCAAGAACTACCGCATCGTCTGCAATAGTTGAAAGCTATTTTAATGATTTAAAACACAGAACATTTAAAAACTACAACCTACCAATAAAAATAGATAAATTTTTCCTCATACATTACGAAGCTATAAAAGGTACAGTAAAATTAGCGACAATAGAAGCAAGAAAAGAAAAAGTTGACAAGCACATTGACAACGTCAAAATTAAGAACGAAACACGACAACGAAGCGGATTTTTAAAACAAAATGGTAAGATTAACATTTTTTAAAAAATTACTTTAAAAAATTGTTACAGCTACGCCCTCAATAAATCAAAAAACGTCAAATTTGCAACAAGCTGAAGAATTTAAAGAAAAAAGTGTAACAATAACAAACATAGGTGAGTATTGAAAGTAGGTATATTAATCGCTTCTATTGGTAAATTTTAGATTGTAATTGTAATGAAGAGAATAATGAATCCAGCACAGTTATATTGGAAGTCACGCCCATAAATATTTCATCAAACTCGCCAGAGGACATTTCAAATTCTGTTGAACTAGGTATGTATTAAGTAAAATTTATTATAAAAAAAATCTACAACTAACAATTTTAAAATTTGTTACACATAAGCTTACATAAAATAAATTTTATAAGATGTTTTATAACGTAGTATTGCTTCGTTTATAAAATATTAGTATTGATAATAAATTTTATAGAAAGTCTTAACAAACGATTACATTATTTAATAAAACATCTGTCAGTTTCTATAAAAGACTTTTGTCAAAAGTGTTTTATAGTTTAATACTGGTCTTATAAATATAAGTAACAATAGTAATCATCTATTTGTTTTGTTTGTCGGTTTAGAAACACGAACTGCTGTTCAAGAGAACTGGAAAAACAAAGCAGAAGAACCAAAAACACGTCTGAAAAAATTGAAGAAAAGGAAGTATGGTCGCCCTTGTACAGAAATTCTGCACATAATCGAAGGAAAAAAAATTGAACTAAGCTTATTACAAAATGGATTAAAAATGAAAAAAGTTTATGTTACCAAGAAACAAAAATATTATGTTGTAAATACATGTGCTTTTGATGCAGTACTTCAAGGTTTGGCAGCTGCATTTTGTGACAGTATTGTATACATGCAGTTTGTAAACAATCAAAGAGATGATATTGCTGATTTAATAAATTCGTTGGTATCGGTAGGTGCAAGCCCTGCTACATATAGACTACGTGCAGAGATTTTATTTAATTCAAAAGATACATTTAGAAGCAATAAGCTTTTAAACAATGTCATTCAAATTGAATGTCAATGTAATGCAATCAACGTACTGCAACGTTTTTGTAAAGTCTACCTTAGCGCTTGTGATGTTCGAACATGTTTATCACCTACCTGCAACCAGGTTATACCTAAAATAAACATGATGGTGTTACCTATAAATATAAATATACTTACCAATAATTTTTCTTCATTAGAGGCAGCTATATCAAATGCTGTATTGAAAGTTAGCAATTGTGAATGCGGTAGCAAAATTTCACACACTGTAAACGTGTTTGATAAT